CGCCGGTATGTGTTTGCTCACTTGCCGATCTACTGAGCCGACCTGTGACAGTCTCATTGTCACAGGTCGGCTAGAACTATGAGGTGAGTGAAAAGCACTCACCTCATAGTTCTCCTTTAAAATAAATGATGTAAAGCGTCAGTGCACAAATAACAAATCAAAAAATACCCCAAACACACAAATGCAAAGAACAATAAATTAACAGGGCTATTCACTAAAGGGTGAGAAGGCAGGAGAAGGGAACTATCTAGGACAAATATAACTGGTAACAAATTGTTGAGTGCGTTTGTCGTTTGTTTTGCTTAACCCTGTAAATAATCCCTACATAGTTCATACAGCCCCCCAAAAAATAAAACAAAAATGCAGTCTGTAAATAAAGTTAATAAGTAAAATAAGGCTAGGTTCACACCTAAGCAACTGTGTTGTTTTCGTGCGGTTGTCGCGCCTTTCTGTTCACACGATTTTGCTTTGAAAACCGCACGGCTGTTGTGCGCTTTTCAATGCATAGAGATGTCTATGGGAGCCAAATTGCAGGACAACCACTCGAAAATCGCTCCTGTACCTTTTTGTGTGACAGGTGATTTCTACTGCGCGACAAATCGCAAAGGTGTGAACAGCTTCCATAGACTTGAATGCAAATCTCTGTTTTGTTCCATATCGCGTGGCTAAATCTGTGCAATAAATCACCTAGGTGTGAACCTAGCCTCAAGAGTAGATTTTGATTCAAGCAAATGTTGCCCAAACAACTCAATATAAGAATATATGAGAATATATGAGAGTCTCTGATTTTGGGGGTTCAGTAGTTTTGCAGAATTCACTCAATCCCTAAAGCTGAGTATACATTTATCTGCAGATTACAAATTAGTGGTGGGAGGAGGCTGGAGAGCATTTGGGAAATGAAAGTTACAGAAATCAGAAGGAACCCTTTACTTGTGGTCTGATCAAAAAAGGCTGCTATCTGAAGTATTTCATGCAAAACTAAGATAAGTCAGAGGGATTTTGTGACCAGTGCTATGATCTAACAAAACAAAAACTTTTGCAGCATTAGAAGATTTTTTTTGGCCTTCCTCTGTATCAACATTTATGAATTAGAAGCAAAGAAAAATGGTAAAAATATTTCTATTGCAGGACTGTAAAGAAGTTGAAAGGGAATTTTCACTTAGCTTAGTGAATGTTGTACAAATTCACTTTGCAAAGAATACCCAATAATGTGTAAAGTACTTTGGCTTTCCAGATAATTAGATGATGGAAGTCAGCAGAGCTTCACCCCGTTCACTAAGCTAAGGGAATATTTCCCTGCAAATTGAACATTCTATTTGTCTTTAGTAATCCAACCCCTGTGACTTAAACGTACTGAAAGCCAGACGGCATCAAGCATTTTCACACAGAGACAAGCAATAGCAGCCCCTACATTTCTCTCAAGATAAAGTTTAAGCACTAACTAATTGTGTGCCCAGACTTTTACACACCAAATATTTTATTCTTTTCCTGTTAGATGCAGTAAATAAATAGTATTTACCAAAATATGCTAAAATATGTCACATTTGTACCCTGAAAATGTTCTGTTAATTTTGGTAACTGAACATAAAATTTAACTTGGCTATAAGCAGTGTGTGTATGCACTGATATACTTTGTATGTATATATATTAGACACTGCTATGAGATTACTTTTAATTAGTCACTAAACTTATGTTCGTTCTACTCTCCAATCCTGTGACATTTATTCAGAAGAAAAGACTGGTGTTTATTTCGGGATGGTAAGTGATATGTGATTGTGACAGAATGTGACCTTGAGAAATTCTCCCAGTCACATCCTATTGTGGCAGCTTTGCTTCTGACTGAACATGCACTTGAAGTAAATGTCAAGGTAAGGCAGAGAGCCTGTGCACATATGTATAATTGATGAGGTTGTGCTACTTGGTTCTTCTGTACATAGGTGAGAAGAGAAGCAGTACTGAAGCTGAGTAAAGCAGGTCCCAGGCTGGATCTTGAAATCTCAGTGGGGAGACTCTGGCTATGTCAATAACCCAGGTCCATTTGATGCTGTGATCTGACAGCCCTAATTTGCACCAGTGACCATGGCCTTTGTTGGCATACTCCTATCCCAACAAAACTAGTCAACGGATTTCCACTAATAACCACATAGAGGCAGAAGTCTACACTGATGAGCTTATTTAAAGGGAAACTCAAGGCCAGATAAAATCATTGGCAAATACTATGGGACTTATCTATGAAAAGTGTGCTAAAAGGAAAATGTATTTTCACCCACAGCAACCAGTCAGAATCATTGTTAAAGAGTTCTGAAGTGACAATAAGCATCTCTACATGCTGTCCCAATGTAAACTGAAGCTTTTCATAAAGGTGAAAGCAAGCTTTAGATTAATGCACAAGTGAGGGCTGACTGTTTAATTTGCATGCAATAGCTAGTTGGTGCCTGAAAGCCATAGTAGATGCATAAATTGTGACAGTTTTTCTAAACCAATACAGACTAATGATTTCAGGACAGTGGTGAAGCGCTAGATCCAGGTCACAGCTACAACCCTGGTAGTTCTCGTGAAAATGCCAAGTGTCGGCAATGGTATCTGAACATCCCTATTATTAATATACACATACTTTCGTTTAGCAAAATGTCGCAGTAACAATCAGTAGATGAAAGAGCCCTAGCCATGTGAGCTAACAGTCAAGAGTTAAGGGGTAGAAGTAAAGCAAATTAATGAGTCGACAGTGTGTGTTTTGTCAGATGGTGGAGGAGAAAGCAATGCTGGATCAGTGTTTGAAGGAAATAACTTAGCCCTGATTACATTGTCTAAAGAGGTGAGACTTATAGGTGCTCATGAAGGTCTCAGGGGGTTGTAGAGTGACAAATGTGGAAGGGAATTTTAGAAAAGGGTTGTTATTTATGGAAAACCCTGTATCAAAGAGTGTGAGCAAATAGATTGTAGAAGGTAACTTGTAGAGCTAAGGTTGTTTTTCTTAATAAGTGTGGAAACATATAGAGGGGTGGGACCAAATTGTAGAGGACTTAGAATTCTCTGAGTAATTGTTTTAAAGTGGATCTGCATTTTTCCCAAGCAGGACAAGCAATATGTTCACTCTAATTCCCCCCACCCCAGCAGCATATATCGTATTTACCTACCCTTTCTTCCCCCATCACTGCACAACCAGAAACAATAAAAAGCCCTGCATAAATAAAAGTAGTTGGGGGTCATAGCTTATATAGGGCTATCTATGGACTCCCTGTGTGACAGAGCTAAATTACCCAGTGCTGTAACATAGGTTAAGGCTTGCCCATCAAATACTCAGAAGAAAAGATTTTATCCTTTGGCTCCCCACACTGCATTTAGTGGCAGGGGAGCAAATAAAATTAAAGTATATGATGCTTAGGGGGGCTCTATTAAAGCACACCTGTTGCTTTGTCCTAAAAAAGAGGTTGAAATCATTTAATACCATTTAGCCTGCAGAGGAGAAGTTCTGGAGTAGTTAAGTGTGTTTAACAGAGTCAAGGACTGATAAAAGATAAAGAAAAAAAGGATGGAGCATTGGCCTTTATATTTTACAGTTTGAAGGTCATTGTTATTTGTTTTAGTAGAGTACTTAGGGCAAAATTCAGCTAAAAATGGTCACTTTGTCAGCTTAGAATGACTGCATACATGTAGGATGTTTCAAAAGCAAGGCTTCATTTGCTGCTCCAGGTTAACCCCTTCGTGACTGACGACGTACAGTGTACGTCGCCAGCATCGGGGCTGTTTAAACAGACTCCCGGTGACTTTTGCCGCCGGGAGTCTGTTTAAACTTGTAGAGCCGACTGTCGGCTTTACAACAGAAGCGATTCTGGCGACTTACCTGTCGCCAGATCGCTTCTGTGTCCTGAAGAAGGGGCCGCCCCCCGCCGGACACCGCCGCCGTGCTTTGTGGACTTTTTGGGGTACTGCAGTTTTTCGCCGTTTCACGGATGCACGCAATTTGTAACCTGGGCATGTTGAGTATCGTTTTACTCGTTGTAACCTCATCTTTTATATTTCATTTAAAAAATTGGTATTTTGTTGTGTTTTGGGGCATTTAATTAAATTTATCACTAACTTTTGGGGTTGAATAAGGAGTTGCGCTAATATTGCACAACATAAAAATTTGCAACTACCACCATTATATTGTATAGGGTCTTGGCATTCAGAAAATATACAATGTGTGGGGGTTTTAAGTAATTTTCAGGCCTAAAATGTGGAATATAACATGGGTGCAAAAAATGAAAAAAAGGCCTCAGTCATGAAGTGGTTAAAGTTTTCATGGAACTTCATTTTTATTTTCCAGATGATACATCCAAAACATAATAGACTCATAGGTCTAATAAAGAGGCTGTATTTCTCTGCTCTCTATATTCAAAATGATGCACAAAGTACTCTAGCTGTTTTCCAGCCAGCCACACAAATATTGTATTTCATTTTAGGCAACCAGGAGAAGGTCACTCACTAGTATGGCTGTATAAAGCAATGCAGAGAGCAGAAGAGGGACCTGTTCTGAAATTATATTATTATAATACAGTAGAAGAAAATTGTGCTAAGTGGTCAATGGTCACTAAGAATTAAAGTTAATATTGTATCACCTGATACCTACCAGGCATTGGCAGCCCAATGTCCGAGGAATGTGGGTATGAAGCTAAACTTCACAGAGCAAAACAAACTGCTAAGATTATGGACTTCTTATTAAATTGTCCATAGACTTGGTGTGTGCACATGTGACTGCTTTAGGCACATTAGACTGAAAGCTCCATCGAGCAGTGGCTGATGTACATGGTGATGTAACTTTATGTGTAGGTGGCCATAGATATTAGGGGGTAGTCAAACAGACATTATAAGATAATATTCTTCAGCATCTGTGAATGGGCCTGCTGAGTGACTGGTAATAGTCTGTAGAGCTAAAGTGCTTAGGAAAGCCTTAAGGAACATGCATGGGTTATATTGTAGACATAATAAATGTACTACAGAAAATGAATTCTACTTACCATGTTCATCCAACAAGATGTTATCTGGTTTAATATCCCTATAAGAGAAGAGAACATAGGTATTAAGTGTTTGATGGCTATCTGAACAGTTTATATAAACTAGCATTATATGCGGTGGCTTTAACCATAAATACTGTACGTTATTAAAGGGAACATGTTTTTGGAGAAATCTGGCAGATCTTATTGCTGAACTATATGTAAAGCCAAACTTTTTTTTGTTTGTTTTTGATAGTGTGGTGAGGGGTTAAAATCTTTGTCAGGTTTTTACTGCAGTCTGTGTCCCACCTAGGGAGATTCATTTTTGGTATATGTCCAAAACCACTGACATTGGGAATAAAAGTGCGGCAAAATCCAAAATGTTGAGTTGTTGCAAAAACATAAACAGAGGGAAAATCTTAAAAATATTTGCACTTGTTGCTGGGACAGTAGTCTAAACGGGTATTTCCATTCACTTCAGATAGTTTTCCTCCAATTTCCTGTTGGGTCTAATAGGATAGGAAGTGAAGGTAAACCCTCCCAGTTGGACATAAATGTTGAAAAAAAACTAACAGCAAGTTGGCTTTAGATATAATTTTGTATAGGAAGCAACATAAACAGCTGCTTGAGAACTGCAATATACAGTATATGCCAATGTTGCTCTTGGAAGGTCTCATATTCCATCTCACACAGCATTAGGCGGTAGACTGTGCACACCTTAATTATGAGTAGAAAAATGTAAGAAACATGCTTTCTCAGAAAGCAATCAACACATGTATGTGTGCACGGAATCCCAATTTATCTACACCTGTCCATTTCACACATAGCTGACTCCTACCATCATTTTCAAATACTCAGCTTCCATTTTGTCTTATTTTTTTACTACATACCGAGCTTAGAGTCAAAATAAAACCGCTGTTTTGATATCTCATTTTTTCCATTTTTAAAAATGACATAAATAATAATGAAGATATGTTACATTCTTATACAACCTATTTAGACCTGAAGTAAATGAGAACACTGGAGATCTGTAGGAGGGAACCGTATTGTGTTTGACATTAATATCACTTAACACGTAAAATAATGTTTTCTTAATATGTGTGGGCAACTGATTACTTGACTTCCCACAGTTAGAAAATAGTAATGTCTAATACATCTAAATTGTAACAATGGACACTTTAGCTAGCACACACGACTGATGTAGGAGTGCAGTTTTATCAAGCTGAGAGTCTACATAAAGCAATTAAGTAAATGATCATAGGCTTTCCAACCCAGAATAACTCCAGTGGTGAATTCATTCAAAGCAACACACTCCCTGTTTGCTGAATGCGTGCAGAAAATAACAAGATCTAAAACACAGACTGCCCTAATATTAAGTGGGAAACCTAGATATAGATCACAGATTTATTTCAGCTTTTTAATTTTATGGAATTTTGAATCTCTGAGGTGTAATGCCAGGACAAGGCAGGCAATCGTTCTTCAAGATATACACAGGTTAAATTAAAGACTAAAGCTAGCAGGAACATCAGACAGTTGGATGTATGTGAATAATTTGATTGACAAAAAAAATCTTTATTGGAAAACATATAACAAAAACATGCACACTTTGGATCTTCCCAGCATGCATGTTTATGCAGGTAGAGACATGGTAGTAGGATATCCTGGAACAAGTTTATCTCAAGTGCAAAAATAGTAATATTTGGCAAGAAAAATTAACCTGGCCACCCATTGACACTTTTCTGAGATCAGATCTCAAAAAGGTGTCTGAATAACATGATTTCCACCAAAAGCATACAACAATACCTGATCTCATGGTAATCAGCCAATTGTAATGAGGGACATCTGCCAAACCTCTCAAAAACCTCTTGGACTATAGGGGAATATATATATATATATATATACACACACACACTGTATATCTGTAACA